TGCATTGGCAGCTGTTGAAAAAAAAATCCAATAGATTAAATTTCCAATTCTCAAACCCGTAACAAAACCATTACTTAAAAAGCGCACAAAAACGCAACCATTTAAAACTTTTCCCCTAAAAACGGCAAGATAAAAAAATATTTTATGTATTGATCAATTTTCCATTTTGTATTTTTTGTTCTACACCACCTCGTTTCAGTCAAAGGTATAGTCAGATAACGCCTTTTTTAAAACGCGATACAATCTGTGGAAGTTCATTTTCTTGGGGCTTAATACCTTATTTTCTTCACTTTATTTCGATTCCCTTTTTCATTATTTTTTGTTTAAGCAAACTTTCCCCTCCTTTTTCTTATGATTGTTTCAGTTTGTGTTCGTAAATATAGATATATAACTACCTTCATATAGCCACAGCTGTTAACGGAATATTGATTAGTTGTTGTTTTCATGATCGATATTTAAGTTTTATGTCTTCTTTTCCCAAACGTGGCTTCGAAGCTTCGCCTCCGGCGTACAATGCATTAATATTAAGTCATTATAAATAACTGTTTTTCTCGGCGTGATAAATCTAGATTTTAAATTCTAGTGAATGCTTCTCACGGTTCGACATGAATACATAATGTGACTTGCTCCATATAATTAAGATAATTTTCATATTTATTCACAACACAGTTTTGTTTGGCGAGAATAACAATTGCATTTTTAATTAACTGAGCATGAAAATAAAAATTTAGGAATGGATTGTGTCTAGAATTAAAGGAACAAGTAAACAATATTTTTTATTGAGAAATGGAACTATTTTTATTCCTGGCACGAATTTGGAAAGAATTTTATGGCAATATTTTATTTAATACATCCAAATGATTTCTTCAAATATTAATAGTCTATTTCGAATGATTGTCAAATACTGCAGTCATTGTAAATTATGCAAAAAGTATCAGTGTAATATCTAAAGTTATATCTATTAATTTTTGATAAGATTATTTATACAGATTTGCTTTTAGTTTTGAGATAATTTATTTAATGTCCACAAAAATACTTCTATTTATTTCTTTCTATCCTAAAAAGTCACAAGGGCCACCACTGACGCCGCTGTTTTGAGGGATATATTTTGCTTGATTGCGCAAAAACTATAAAACGTAGGAACTTGAAATTACGATGGTCCGTAGAAAAATGTATAAGGAATTCGATGGAGCAAATGAAATTACGATTCGATTGTTAGTTCGAGACTTATTAGCTGTTAAACTTGCCAAAAAACATGTTCATTGATCTACTATCCGTTAAAATCTAATTAAAGAGTTTAAATTTTATGAGCTAATAAGACCATTTTGCATTATAATTTAAACTAACGTTTCTGTCGAAATTTCTATTTGCTCAAGCTATTGCAAATTTTAATACTTTTTAATAATCTTTTTTTTTTTCAGTTTTTTTTTTTTTGCTTTAAATATTGACTGTTTATTCATTGTTGTAAAAAATTTATTTTTCCCTCTCGAGATATTTCTTTTTTTATATAAATTTACTCTTGAGTAGATGTCAATCAAAACTAGTAAAAAAAGAGAGACAGAGAGATTACGTTCTGCAAGATATTCACCTTTTTCCCGACCGTGCTTCGTGTTCTCCACGGTAGAGGGCGGTAGTATTTGTAGAGGTAGTTTTAATTTCCGGTAGAAGATTCAGGTAGAAGAATTTCTGCTGGTGTAAACTAAATTGCGTCAATCCACATCAGGTAATTGCATATCAATGTAGGATAATTTCCCAAAGTACTTTTTTAAATATATTCTCTTTTAAAATCTGAGGAACACATTTTTTCGCAAAAAAAACATAGAAATTTAATTCAGAAAAACTGAGTATTCCGAGTCTATGCAAACAAATCCGAGACGTCACTAAAAAGAAATAGTCCTGTCAAAGCTATGACATCAGAAGAAGACCTCAAGACTTCCGGTAGGATTTTTTTTCTTCCGAGGACAGATGGAGAATAAATCATAACATTTATGGTGAAACTTTCAAAATAAAATAAAAAAAACTTGATAAATAGCGATAAGAAGCTTTTCCAATTTGATTTGTTATAAGTTTCGTCAACGAGTAATATTACTTCTCATTTATTTCTTCCTATTGAGACACACACACACATTCTGTGTTCTTAAAGATTAAATTTTTTTTTCCAAGTTCAGATTATTATTTTTCATAACCTGGTAACAGGATAACTGCAAGTGACTTAGTGTGGGTATCTCGATCCTGATTGGTTGTTGAAGCGTTGCATTTTCTTACGTTAGCAACTGCTCTTTCCATTCTGTTTCGAGTAAGCCAAGATCAAGTATTAATTCCCTTTAATTACATGTTCTTTCACAAAGATATAAATTCTTTCACTGTATTTTTCTTACTTAACACAAAGACAGGCACAAAGCCGTGTATAACATAAACAAACTAATTATGCATTGAAGTTGCCAAGCCCTCAAAGCAAAAATCATGGCTACTATGAAATACATAAACAAATAATAAAACTAAGTTAAGTAAAAGATGTAGACAAGAAAGAATTCTATTTCAGCAAATTTCATGTGCGATACGACACAGTATTTGATTAACTTCAGATTAATTAACATTCTAGTGGAGAAACTCAGATCTACTTAAACACGCGATCAGCTGGTCCTGACGTCAAAGGTCACATGTGTGGGTATCAGTAATCTTCTTCTTTCGTGAAGTGCAAGTACCCAATTATAAATTTTTTTAGGATTAACATGTAAACAAAATGTTCTTATATGAAGCTAAAATGATTGTATAATTTGAAACCAAAAAATGTTCTGTCTTTTAGAGAAATATTGACGCTTAAGAAGAACGAAACAATGATGAATATGAATCAATTACAAGGGTTAGCAAGCGGTGGGAGCAGAGGGCGGAGCCTCCTAATGTCATAGGAAATTCGATTGCATTATTGAAGAAACAGATCAAATATTTTTTTTTTTTTAAGAAAAATACATTTGAAATTTTGAAGCCTTCTAATGAAAAAAACTAACATAATATTGTTACGCTCTGTAAAGACCACGCTCTTTCTATAAGATATAAACTTTTTTTTTACTCAGATTACATTTTAGATACATTTTACTTTTACTCAGTCTCATCTTTTTAACATCTGGTTACTTTCACAACAATTTTTTTATTGAAAAATATTTCTATTGAATGTCAAACCACCGACTCACGCATAGATGGGCGTTTCCTGAAACATTATCAAAACAGAATATTACGACCAAAAATATGATTCATTCGAAAATATGATTTATTCGAAAAATTGTTTCATTTGAAATTGCAGATCTTTTCAAATAAGAATAGTTTTCTCATTGACATTTTTCTAAATTCACAGCTTTTAAAAATCTCTTCTATCTATGTAGATGTGCTTTATAATTCTTGCGTCTATTGTTTATTCTGGAAGCTCTGTACGTTAAATACGAACACAGTGATAATGAGCATATACATTTTATATAAATGTGTCTGTTATTATAGTGAAAAAAAATCGTAAAAATCAATCTCAAATTGTTGTTTTTTTTTTACTTATTTTTATTACCTTCAATATTTTTCTGAAAATTATCATGTACATGAATCATAATATATATTTTTGAAAGAAAAATCTTAAAAGAATTTTCCGTATAATTAATTATTCAGCTAAATTTTCCATTCTATCTGTATTTAGCAAAATATTCAATATTCATAATATTATCTCTATTCAAGGAGAAAATTTATGGTGATAAATTTTTCTCGATGGCCAAAATTTTGTTTTTTATTCGTTAAATATATCCTTTAAGCACGTATAATGTATTACATGATGAAATGTTGAAGAATAAGTCGTAGAAAAAAATCCAGAGAATTTTTAGTATTTAGGAGAAAAATCACTTTTCGTTTATAATAAAACGACACTTAAAAAATAAAATAAATGTTCTGGAAATGCAAGTGTTACCTTTTAGAAATATACTATGTATCTGTGAAATAATGTAAATTCCTTCCTAGAGAATTCACATTATATAAAACTTTTAAACTGGCATGAAATCATTAAGCCCTGTTAAAATTTCTATTCCAAAATAACGGTGAAATAACCAGTAGCAGTCTATCCATCCCATTAACCGTAAAGTTTACGATAAAGCGTATTTTTTACTTTTGTGGTTTTGAAACCGGTTACATTTAGTATGGTTATAAAACCATGAATACAAAGCTATGCAGTTTTTTCACTATTTACTACTAACAAGGTTTCAAGGTTTTGAAACCGTTTACATTTAGTATGGCTTGACATACATTTAGTATTAGACATAAGTTTCCATCATAGGGTTCTTGAAAAGAAAATTTTTATAAACATTTCTTTTCTAAGTTAAGACCCTTAATTTAATTTAATTAGCTTTACAGTTCATAACATATTTTCCCCCGTAAGTTTATTTACTTTAACAGCATCTTTCGATGCTCTTTTTTTAATGAGAATAAAAAGCTCCAGCATGAGGCAAAGGTACACAGAGAAAAAAATTCTGGTAAAATTATTGAACGGTAATGACATTTCTGGTAAAAAAACAACATAGTTTCGTTTAATAAAACCAAAATATACGGTATTTAAATCATTAATTTTTTTAAAATTTTTCCATTCATATAATAACAGTTTGTCAGGAATTCTGATTTTCAAAATTATTGTTTTTTTTCGTCTTACTCATTTAGTAGCAAACACAAAACTGAAAAGTAAATTTTACCGAATAAATCGTTTTTATGCCTTGCTTTAAGGTATGATAAAATTACCAAATTTTACCACATTTATCAGCTTTTACCACGTATTATAAAATCATATTTTATTGGCAATTTTACCAAAATCGTTATTGAAGCGCTACGGTAAAAATTGCCGAGCTTTTGATGTTCCCCAAAAGCCAGAAAACACAGTAAATTTTACTGTATTTTCGCAGTTTTTATCATATTTTTTCTCAGTTTGTTATAACTAGATAGATTTGTTTTATTATATCAATGTGTGTTGTTTCTTTCAGAATTGGAACTGCCAGCTCAGAAGTCTCCAATATTAGAAAAAATGGTTGATTTTGGGGAATCAACCCGAGAAGTAACTATGAACGAGTAAGTATAGGTTTAGTTTAAATAATTAAGTAATTTGATTGATTGTTATTAAGTCATCGTTGAAAAAAATCATTAAGTACGGAAAATTTAGCAATAGGTTATTTTCCGCGACAATTTATCGACAAAAACTTTGAAGTAATAGGCAACTCGAAGACAACACAATTCAACTGAAATTGATTTGTTATTTGTTTTCGTGTAAAATTGCTCTTAGTTCTTATTATCTAAACTTAAAAGTTTAATTTGCCGTTGCTTCAGATTTCTCTAAAAAATAAGATGTGAAATTTTTAAAGGAACCAAATTCTACTTTTTTTTTGATAAATCCAATCCAAACCTTAACTGATTGCTAAAAGAAGACAAAAAAATAATTAAATCAAAAATTAATATATTAAAATTAATACATTACATTAAAATTAATATTTAAGTTTCTTTTAAATTTCGGTTAATTTAATTTGTAAATAAATAAACAGCTGCATTGATGTTAGAATATAGGACTCCTTTGTAAAGAAAAAAGTAAAGTTTGGTGCACTGTGCAAAAAAAAAAGAGATAATTAAATCGCTGCTAAAAGCTATTAATCTCAAATTTATTGATGTTCCCTCTTAATATGCTAGAATTATCTTAGTTTTCATGTAGCTCTTTACGTGCAATTTTTGATGCATAAAAATTTTACTTAACTTTTATAAATAACTCTTACAATGTACAAATTTTCAACAGCAACTTTCTGTTACGCAATTCGCATTTGAACGTTATTTTCGTCTTAAATTGTTGTAATGCTTCGTGTAAGAAAACGAAATGCGTTCCAGAAAGTGTCTGACTTTGATTAAGGAAGATACTACAACTGTCAATAGAATATGGCATTGATGGGTTCAGGACGATCATATGCAACGGTTGTTCTAGATTCCAGTGAGCCGCCACAACCAAAAACCAAGAAGATCTTATCTTATCTGCATAACCACAAGGAGTCGCTCGACTGCATAACAAAATCTAAATATAGAAAATGTAGTCGTTGGCATGACAACAAGTTTGTGCTCAAATATTTTGACAACTTTTGTAGCAATATGGACTTCAGTGTTGAATCCAAGGCTTCTGCTGCCCTTGACTCTGCATCATAGACAGCATAACCTTTAGCGAATTGATAAATTACCAATCTGAACACATGAATGGCGGTGCATCATCTCTTCGAACGAGTGCTGGGTCGGTTCTTAAAGCCATGCTGGATACATCCTTGCTTGGAAGCATCATGGAGAGGGCATTTTGTCAACTTACATTCTGCATTGTCATACTGGTCTATCACCCACACTGATAGATTCGCCACGACTCATTTACTACTGTGTTAAACTGTGCCATAGTGCTAAAGCTGTATTGCCTGTGATCCCGAAATTGGTATGCAATATCCGTTTGACTCCTTATCCAAACTGCTGTTATTTCTGCAGAGGGGATAACTTTCGGTACTGATTTCTCAACATCTATCAGCCCTAATTGCCTGAAAATTTAACCACTTGCTCTTTCCACTATAATGTATGTGTCCAAAAATACCATTCTGATATTTTCATTTTTATCAGGTGTAGCTATTTTAATGGCTGCAGTGTTTACTTAAAACGCTTGGCACAAATCAGCATTTCTGTCAGAGGTGGCAACTTTTGGTACTGATTTCTCAACATCTATACGCCCTAAATTGCAACAAATTTAGCCACTTGCTCTTACCATTATAATGCGTCCAATAACTATTATTAAGTTATTTACATTGCTACCAAGTGCAGTAATCTTAATGGCAAGCTGCGTATACGTGCAAAACGTTACATAAACCATTAACTTGATAAAATTAATCTGAATCTCATGTTTCTTCCTTACTTTATTTTTTTTAACTACGGTAGTGGTCAATCATTCACTTGGATTCCATGTATCAATTCTCTTGCATAAAATCATTTTATGATTTCAAATACTATGCATTCATATTTTAAAAACAGCCGGGAATTTATGACTGTGAAGTTTATTTTTTGAATCATTTTTCACTCTTCAGTGAAAAACTAATAAATAATAGCTTAGCGTAACATTACAACCTACTAGTTTGTTTCGTTAAAAGTTTACATTAAAAAGATATTTTACAGAACATGGGAAACATTAATAAAAGTTCATAAAAGAATTTCACGAGACAGTTCTGAAATTTCGTTCTTTGCAAGTTAAAGTCATTATCTTCAAATTTAGCCATCTCAAACTGAAATATACTGACGCTTCTGGCTTATTAAATTGGTTTTAGCCTGTGATTTATAACACTTGTCTTCCCGTTCCTTAATTAAGCCCATTGATGTTTTCATTTTTTTCCTGTTAAAATAAATATTTAATCAGGTATTTAGGCGGAAACGGCGTTCTTTCTTTCGATTTGGCGTGTTTTTTATTAATTCTTCGGCGGGAAATATTAGTTTTCTTTCTTCTTGCAGTAAATGGTCCATTGTGGGTTCTATTTAATACACTTTTCTTTAGCTGGCGGTTTAAAATTTTCGCTTCAGAACAATGTGCAAATTTATCATTCGCAAACATCAAATTAATGTTATTTTTATCAAAAGATATCTTAAATGGATAAAAAATGCAGCTAATGGGATGGAATATTCATTGCGTTGCTAGTTGATTGATAGTGATTTAGTTCTGCATTTAAAATACAAAAGAAAAAGCCCAACGTAGTTTTATAAAAGTATTTTGTTTAACGAGTAGTCATTTTATGATTACTTTATTAAAAAGAAGCTTCGGAATTTCTAGTGGTTTATGATATTTTTTTCTTGATTCTAAGATATTAATGATGAAACAATAAATTGCTCTAAAACGAAAAAAAAATGAATATTATTGATTTTTTAAAATCATTTCAATCTCTAATGATTCTTAACTATAATGTCAAAGTTCAGGTGAAAACTGGAATTGTGAAGAGAAAGTGAGTTGATGCATGTTTCTGAAAGATTGTTTGTATTATTCTATGCATTTAATTTTTAATTTTGTAAAAGCTTCCTTTTTGGAAGAAAAAAAAAGATACCTTGTATAAAATATTTCCAGATTAAGGAAATAATTTGTGAGTTGTATGAAGTTTAAATATTAAGCTCATAATATAAATGTGAACGTTTAACACTAGATTAACGGATAGGGCCTATTCGACTTTTTTCGCTTTTTGTTGCTCTGTAATTCAAAAAATAACTTACTGAAAGTGTTGAGTATTTTTGACTTATCATAATTTGAACCAATTTAGGTGCTTATTTAATCATGCATGTGTTAGTGTCATAGAAACGTATTATATAGAACTTTATACCTAGAATGAGGGGAGGGGCCAGACTGGTCCCTTAGGTATTTTGGTCGGTAACCCATAACCCCAAGGTAGTTATTGGCATAAGGTACCCTTTGCTAAGTATAAGGTAGTAGAGTACCATAAAAAAACAAAATAATTTTAGCATGCATATAATTATTATTTATGGAGAAAAGGATATTCAGTTATCTAGGAAACTAATGCTTAAGTATAATTGAAAAATCAGTGTTTCGCTTAATTTGCACTTGCACTTTGAATGTTGGCATGTAATTCTCGCGCACGATATGTGTAACACAGAATGAAATCATTTGAAACCATTATTTTACCGGCGTATATTCGCCAAGATTGGTTTGTATGGCCAGATATCAACATTGACAATGGCTCGGTTAGTGAAATTAACTCTGTTAGTTTCCTACTGTAAGTCAGTTCAATTAGCTCTGTTAATATACCTTCAGCACAGCAAATCACAGCTATTTTAGTCTTCAATTTGAAATCACGGCAAAGTACACATAATTGATCCATTCTTCCAATGACGACGACGTTCGGATAGGTTGGTATTTTATTTACGTCACACTAGAGCTGCACAATGGGCTATTGGCGATGGTCTGAGAAACATCCTAAGAAAAATCCGAAGGCATTGCAATATTGATCCTCTGCAGAAGGGGTAAGAAAGAAGAAATTATCATATGACAAAATGAAATAAACAGATGTAAATAAAAAAATATAACAGAAACACGTTTTACTAAATAGAACTAATATATATTGAATGTAAGATAAAGATATGGATTTCATTAAAAAAATTTATATATCTACACAACTGCACAGTATGAAAAGATTTCGAAATACTAATGTAAAATCAAGCAATCCTATCCTTATTGTTTACCTAATCATTTTTATTGAAATTAAGCTACAAGAAAAAACTCAACTTCAGAATTTAAAAAAAGGAAGAAAAAAAAGTATTATTCAGTCATACTGTAAATATAATCCTACTGCACTGAGGAAAAATGTATGGTTGAAACTACAGTAAAATTTACCATGTTTCTCGGTTTATGGAAACATCGGTAATTTTTACTGAAGCGGTTTGGTAAAAATTTTGGTGAAGTTAACAAAAAAAATATAGTTCTTACCATATGTGTGGTAGTAAATGAGTTAAAATGTTGTAACATTCTGTATTTTATCATGATATCTAAGATCATGCATTAAAACCATTTATTCGGTTAAATTAACTTTCCAGTTTTGTAATGATTATTAAATGTGTGGTAATTTGTCTTGATGGTGTAAACTGTTGGATAAGTAATTCGAATTAAATTAAATTGATTGATACTCGGTTGGAATTCGAATTAAATTGTTTGTTGATACTGATTTTTTTTCCTTTTCTTTCAAAAAAATTATCAATAACACAGGGTCGGAAATTACTAAATTAAAGTATACAAGTTATTACTTTCCCGTTTTAATGAAGTTTTATTATGTTAAATTGTTGGTCCTGATAAAGATCCAGAACTATAATTTTGAAAAGTAAATTTTTCGGTGAACTGTTACTATACGAACCAAAAGATTATCATATGAATGTTTCATTAAGTAAGTATATTTTGATTTTATTAGCCAGTGCTATGTTTTTTATTCATTAGTATTAAAAATGTCATTACTAAATAGTACGGTAATTTTACGAGATTTTTTTTTAGTGCTAAGTAAATAAAATTGTGACCGAGATATTAT